GGCCGTGGCTTGGTGGTCATGTGACTGGGTGGCCGTGGCTTGGTGGTTATGTGACTGGGTGAGTAGGGCCAAGTCGGCATCACTGACTTCTTTTTCCTAATGCAGGGGTCAGCAATCTTAAATACTCAAAGAGCCATTCAGACCCATTTCCCACAGAAAAGAAAATACTGGGAGCCACAAAACCCTTTTGATATCTAAAATGAAGCTAACACTGCATATATTCAGTGTGCAAAAAATAAGGGAGAATTTCACTACACCCTTAAAAGGGGGGGTACCTCCCCACGGATTTTGCCTCTTCCTCCAAACTGATTTCTCACAACTATCTTGTGTGCTATGTTATACTGAGGCATCATGATGGAATCAAACTCATTCATTTACTAGATGATTGGTGTCATACAGTAATCAGAAGTGGACACCTTTCAATGGCCAGAGTGGGGTCAGCTGAGTAGAGATGCAATGGGGGTAAGATTAGGATTTTCTGGTTTTAGGGGGACATGGGAGGTATTCTTAAAAACAACATTGTTAGGCCTTACATTACAGTTTCTGAGTCCAATCAGAGAGGAGGAGGAAGGAGCCCTGTGAGGAGACGCTGCCGATGCTGCCGCCTGCAGAGACACAGACAAACAGAGCGAAGTTCATTGAAGACACTCCTCCTCTGACCAGCCCACAAGACGCTCACCCCAGGGATAAATCGAGGCTTCGCTGGAGAAACTGCCCCACGCCAGCCCAGGTTTTCTAAATCTCTTGCTCCCCAGATTGTCGCCCTCACAAAGAAAGCCCAACCCGACACAAATGCTGCCTCCAGCCAACTCTTCGTTCTGGTAAAACTCCTCTTTGAAAGGATGATCTGCAGGTGGGGGGTGGGGAGATTTCCTGCACATCGGCAGTAGCGTCTCCTCGCAGGGCTTCTTCTGATGTCCCAGGTGTATGCCTTCCTTTACGGGAGGTCGCTTCGCACCTGCATATTCACATTGAAGGCTTGGAATGGGGCGTTTTTGCGAACAGCTTGAAAATGGGGAGGGGGAATTTTGCCTCTTATCCTATTCTCAGTCTGTTCTGAAGGAAAGGACGGTGTGTGTGTGTGTGTGTGTGTGTGTGTGTGTGTGTGTGTGTGTGAGAGAGAGAGAGAGAGAGAGAGAGAGAGAGACAGAGAGAGAGAGAGAGAGAGAGACGCAGGCAGCTTCGGGAGATGCTAGCCTGGTGGGGACGGGGGTAGGCTAGCGCGAATGCTTACCTGTGTGTAGGCAGGAGGAGGCAGTTCTGTAGATGTGCATGGCGAAGGCGAGACAGGGCAAGCATTGAGCGGGCGAGTGAGCGGCGACCGGTTTGGGGGCATGGCCAGCCAGTGGTCGCTACTGGTTTGGCAACCTAGGCCAAGTTACCGCTACTGGTTTGCGCGAACCGGTGCGAACCGGTACAGACCCACCACTAATGGGCTTCTCCTGGGATTCTCTCCCTGCAGCTGGCATTCACCGGAGCCCGCTGCCACTCTTGAGGGCACCCACATTGCAGTAATGCCAGAGCATGCCTGCACAGGGAGCCCTCCTGAGTTGGCTTAAAATAGCTTAACTAGAGAGGCTGAGTAGCCCTTGTGGCTGCTAGACCAGATTTGGAGTGATGGTGAAGTGCTGATTTTTTCCTCCATCCAGGAACTCTCCTGTATAAAATATATAATTTTAATTGTATCAAAGAGGGCTGCAGTCACTTGCTTTCCCTCCATAGATGCTGTGATGTTGCTAAACCTGCTCAAAACATCCGGACTCACAGCATCCTACTGAGACTCCAGAGTGGATACCTAGAGCATTCACAACTGCTCACCTCAAGCAGCATCTGGGACTTTGAGCTTTCTGTACAGTCTCATACTCTATATATACATCTGCTGTGAATACCTGGGTGCTGATATTTAAATCCCCCAAAATGGCCAAATGGAAAGTAGACTTTGAAAACAGGAGCTTTCAAAACAGGTGGGAGGCAGAGTACCTGTTTCTTAACATTGACGATAAGGCCATGTGTCTTGTTGCAGAGCTATTGTGGCTGCACTTAAAGAATATAATCTGAGATGACACTATGAGAGAAAACATCAGGACAAGTACACCAGAAGCTACAGAAGGTGGAAGAGTTGAAAAAGAGTCTGATGGCACAGCAGCACATGTTCACAAAAGCAAAGTCACAAAGTGAAGCTGCTGTGAAAGCTAATTTTATAGTGGCAGAAGAGGTAGCTAAATCACCCTGGCCATTTACAGAGGGGGAGTTTTTGAAGCACTGCATGGTTAAAGTGTGCAAAGTCTTGTGTCCAGACGAAAAGCAAGCATTTTTTAATGTAATCCTAAGAAATACTGTTGCTGATTGGATATGTGAGCTTGCCACTAATTTACAAGGACAGCTGATTGAAAAAGGAAAAAAATCATTGCCTATTCCTTTGCTGTGGATGAGAGCACTGATATCAGTGACAAGGCACAGCTGACAATCTTCATCTGTGAAGATGCACGTTTTTGTGTGACAGAGGAACTTTTGACTGTACAATCAATGCATGGCACTACCACAGGAAAAGACATATTTGAAGCAATATGTAAAGGTGTAAATGACATGAAACTGCCCTGGGACAAACTTATGGGACTGACAACAGATAGAGCACCTTCTATGTGTGGGGAAAAGTGTAGATTAGTGGGAAGGATGCGAGAGAAGATGAAGAGCGAGAATTGCACAGGTGAGCTGACAGCATATCACTGCATCATACACCAGGAAACACTATGCGGCAAAGCCCTGAAGATGGAACATGTAATGTGCACTGTAACAAAGACAGTTAACTTTATAAGAGCCAAAGGTTTAAATCACCATCAGTTTAAATCTTTTCTTGAAGAAATAAATTCTGAACTTGGTGATCTGCCCTATCGCACAGAGATGCAATGGCTAAGTAGAGAAAAAATGCTCAATAGATTTTTTGAGTTATGCATGGAAATCTGTGAGTTCATTGAAAGCAAAGGAAAAGACTCCACAATACTGCAGAATGACAAGTGGTTATGGAATTAGCTTTTCTGTGCGACATTACAAAGCACTTCACTGTGCTAAAACTTCAGCTTCAGGGATGGGACCATGTGATCACGGACATGGTACAATGCAGTGAAAGTCTTTCAGATAAAGCTGCGACTGTGGAAGACTCAGATGCAGCAAGGAAACTTGAGTCACTTTCCCTGTTGCCAAACATTCATCAACCAAGTCACCACCGCTGTGTTCTCAGATTTTGTTGATAAAACTGAGCACACTTCAAATGGAGTTTACATACCACTTTGTGGATTTTGAAGCACAGACATTCAATTTTAGACTGCTCAGCAATCCATTTGCAGTTGATGTGGAGAAAGCACCTGTAAACATATAGATGGAGCTGATAGAACTCCAATGTAATAGCACACTTAGGGCAAAATATGATTCTGTAGGGCCCACACAATTCACCAGGTTCATCCCTGAAATGATGCCCCAACTCCATCTACAAGCTGTGCATGTTTGGAAGTACATACCTGTGTGGGCAACTTTTTTCAGTGATGAGGTGAACAAAAGTGCACACAGAACTGTTCTCACTGATGCACATCACCACGCTATCCTGATAGTTTCCACAGCTCAGAACCTAACTCCAAACATTGATGAACTTGTAGCCAGTAAAAGATGCCAAGCATCTGGCTCAGACAAAACAGGGGTGGGTTGTGGCCGGGATGGCATCACATGGCCAGCTTGACATTGCTCATGTTGGGGGGGCACCTGTGGTGGCCCAGGCAAGTCTGGGGGGATCCATTGTCTCCAGCAGAGGAAGGCGAGACCAGGATGAGTGCCAAACCCTTGTCCTCCTGAGAAGTCTTGCCGTCCCTCTCAGGCCATGCAGAGGACCCCCGGACAGCAGCGCAGGCTGCCCAGAGCCCTGGCCAGCAGAGGGCAAGCGCCCAGCCTGGCCCTCAAGCTCCTAGGACATTGGGACTCCACCACCCAGCCCTGCTTCCCCAAGGGGGTTGCCCGGCTGCGCTTACCTCCTCAAGGCTGCTGCTGCTGTGCTTGCTCTCTTTGGGCATGTTGCTCATTGTGTATGCAGGAGGGCAAAGTGTGTAGGTCAGAGGAAGGCCCACTCCCTCAACATGCGGGGAGACCCGGCTTTGTAACCAAAGCATCCTCACCAATAGGATGGGAGACCACCAGGAGAAGTCAGGAGGAGGGGACAAGGGGATGGCGAAAGGGCAGCAGGGCTGCTGGTAGCCAAGTGCTAAGGCAAGACTTCCCTCAGAATCTGACTCCCTCTCATTATAATCTTCCTTCCTTCCTTTCCTTCTTTTTTCCCTTTTCTTTCTTGCTTCTTTCTTCATTTTCCTTTCTTTCTTCTTTTCCCCCCTCTTTCCTTGTTTTCCCTTCCTTGCTCTCTTCCCCTCTTCCCTTCTTTTTCTGTCTTTCCTGTCCCTTCTTGGATGCTCAAATGCAAAACGGGGAACATTTCTTGATGCCTCTTTGCCTTGTGATCAAATGCCACTTTTGCTGGTAGTTTGTGGCCAAAGACTAGAACAAACCTGGCTCAATTTATTCTGTGATTGCATTTAGTGGGAGAGTCCACAGGCAACAGCAAAACTGTCAAAATGTTGGCTGTGATAGTTGATCAGGGCTCCTCTGTTTTTCATGTGCAACAGCTTTAGCGTTTAGGAACAGAGGTAGTTCCTAAACTAGTTGTTTTTCTATTAATACATAATCCTTAAAAGGGCTCTCCTGTAGGGAGCCTGCCATGGTGTAATTCAGACTGGAAATATAGCAAAGGAAAATATTTTCCCCACTCGGCTTTGTCGTTTCCCCCCCCCCCCCAGGAAATGGCTGTTTGCAACACACAAAGAGGGGATACTTTCCTAAGAGCTCACAATTCAAGAATACCAATGTTAACTTGGATTGCTAACAAAATTCTGTCTGACAAAACAGAACACAAAATTGCTTTCTTCTTTGAACAGGGGCATCTCCAACCAAGTTGATTGTCCTTCCTTCCTTCCTTCCTTCCTTCCTTCCTTCCTTCCTTCCTTCCTTCCCCCTTTCCTTTCCTTTCTTTCTTTTTTTAAGCTGCCAGAGGCTCCAGACAGAGGCTTCCATTTTGACCCCTCCCCCATCGTAGTCTCAGTGTAGTTTTCAGCTCACTTCTCCCAGACTTCTGCACGTGTATGTTTGTGTGTGTGTGTCCCTTGCTGTGCTGTGACATTGGAGAGGACAAGATTGAGAGAAATAAACTGGGATGAGAGCTTCTTGCAGCCTTCCATGGAGCTGGGGGCTGAGAAAAAAAAAAGCATTGCAAAAAAAACAGCTTTTGTTAGCTTGCAGCCTACTATCAACAGAAGTTGAAGGCATGGGGCTGCAAGGAGTGAGACAGCTCCCTCTGCCCCCTCCTGCATGTACACACACACACACACACTCAAACAAACTCGGCAGCAGAGACAATGGCCATTTTTGGCAAGACCAAAGCTGTGACAACTGGGACATGAAGAATATGTACTGGAGAGAGTTGTGGGCAGTGGATTGAAACAGGGTGAGATAACTTTCAATTTCTATATTAGAGACTTAAACCCCAATAAAAGAACTCTCAAAAAAAAGATTCTCCAAAATGTTAAGAAAGATTTATTACATGGAGAAAGATCACAGACTTAAAAGTGAAACAAACCATCAAGGGAAGATTGTGAAGCTGTAAAATGAAGAAGGACTGGACTGGAACTGTTAGCAGTGTGAAAAGGGATTTAATTTCTGGCTAATATTGTTTGATTATTGGAAGAATTCATCCAAAGAAAGGAATTTCGCTTTTTATCTCTCCTATCCCCCCCCCCCCCCCCCCCGTTTATGGTGTATAAAGCTAGATTTTAGAGCGGGGGTGCCATCTACTGTTCAAAGAAGATATTATATTAGTGCTTTGTGGGAATAATCTTGAACTAAGAATTACTTGATATACTACAAGAATAACAAAGAGGAGTAGTGAAAGACAAACAACACCTGGAAGGCCTTTTTATTTTGGTTCCATATCAACTGGAGTTTTGGCTGCCTGGAAGTATTAGGGAGCCGTTTGAAGATCTTTAAGGCAAGGTGGATTACAATGAACAAGAAACATTTTTGAAACTGCTTATCTGATTTTGTGGATTAAAGGCATTTGGGGAAATTTGGTGGGCCAATTTGGAACTCTAAGAAGAAAGAAGAAAAATTGAATGACTTAAAATTTGGAAAATTCAGAAGGTACAAATTGGGAAATTTTAAGGACTATAAATTTAGGCACAGTTCCAGAACAGTGTAAATTTTATTAATACTGGTGGGTTTGGTGATTTTGGACAATTGGAATATTGAAACTCTGGTGGAATATTGAGCAAGGATTAGTGTAATATATCAGCACAAAATGGTTCAGCAGGAGAAAACAAATGCAGTCTATAAAGACATAATGTTGATGTTTCAATGTATTAAGGAAGATATAACAAGGAATCATAAGGAGATGATGGAATTGATGCAAGTTATGGTGAGATTAGGAAAACCCTAGCAAATGACAATAAAAAATGAACAAAAAATTCAGAAAATAGAGGAAAAACCAGAAAGTGTTGATGAAAAAAGCAGAGGAGATAATTTCAAAAATGATACAACTAGACAAAAAGATGGAAGAGATAGCAATAATTTCAAACACGGAACAAATAGAATATTTTTTAAGAATTCAAAATAATAAAGAGAAAGATCCTTTAAAAATGATGGGGGAATAAGGATGAGCATTCTAAAGATTCAACAGCAAGAGACAGGTGCTGTGGAAGCAGAAATATTTAGATTAAATAAAAATGACAAAAGGAGTTACAAGATACCAGAGGAGAAGCAGGACAGATTCACCAAAAAGCTAATAAGAGTTGAGATCCTAAAAAGGGCAAGAGATGATAGATAAGACATAGAATACTTTTCAACATGGTGGTTATTCTAATATGTGTTAGAAAAGAAGTAGAAAGTAGAAATTGGGAAAATAATATTAGGAATACTGAAATATAATAGAACATATTAAGATTACTATGTATACACAAATGTTAGAAGTTGAAAAAGTATGATTATGTATATTTAAATAGTAATATCATTATCGGAATTGTATGCAAAATATATTGACCAAGATAATACACTATTCACTAAGGGCTTATGGATGTTAAAGAAAAAATTATAAAGAAAGAAAGAAAGAAAGAAAGAAAGAAAGAAAGAAAGAAAGAAAGAAAACTGGAGGTTTTTAAGAAGAGACTAGGCAGTCTGTCAGATCCTTATCGTGATACTGCCATTCAAGTGGGGAGGGGACCCCGCATCCTTTTACTCACTTATTGCTCTCATCCTGTTTTCCTATATAACCTGTAATTCCCTAATTTATAACTTTTACCCTGTTACCTATTCTGCCCTGTGCTTTGATTTACCTTTGGGGATGTACAAGGGAGGAGGACCATCTATTTTCTCTCAATTTGGAAGCCATACAGAAGAAGCGTATGGGAACTAATCCTTATCTCTTTCTCAGGACGACTGTTTCCACAACATCTTCACACCTGTGGATTGGCTCATTCCACATCAAACTGAGAGGAGGAGTTTCTAACCATTTTATCCTAACGGAATTGCCTGGGCGGAACTCAGACTCTGCTTTGCTTTTGACTTGCAATCACTCCCTTTCAATAAAAGGTTCCTTTTGAAATGGTGCTGTCTCAAGAGTCTGTACTTTCTTGATTGGGGAGTAGAGGCAGGACCTTACACAGTCACTTATCTGAAATAGTATAGGTTCTCCTGCTTGAGCAGGGGGCTGGACTAGAAGACCTCCAAGGTTCCTTCCAACTTTATTCTATTCTAACTATATTCTATTCTAAGATTGAGCAAGTCCAGAGATGGGCAACAAAAATGGTGCAAGATCAGAAGAACGAAACATATTTTGTTGCACTATATATGAGAAATAAATACATCTCTACAGAAATAGAGCACAACAATGATGAAAACTGTCTCGAATGCATTTGGGTCAATATAAAAGGGGGGAAATGACATTGCAATGGATGTGTTCTATAGGCCACCCAACTAAACAGAGGAAATAGATGGACTTTTTGCTAGTCAGTTAACTAAGGTATGTAGGAAGCACATCACAATAGTAATGGGGGACTTTAACTACCCTGACATCAACTGGGAGACAAACTGCACCAAGTGGAAGATCAAACAGGTTCCTGACAAACCTAGTAGACAACTTTGTCTCCCAAAAGGTAGAGACGGGAACAAGGGGATTAGCCATACTGGGCTTAATTCTCACTAGCAGAGAAAAAATGATAGAAGGGGTGAAAGCCAGAGGATGCGGGGGGGGGGGGGGGGGGGAGATCATGCAATATTGTAATTCAACATTATACAAGCACAAGCAATAGAACAAAGTCAAACTAGAATCTTGGAGTTTAAGAGAGCTAATTTCAATAAACTTAGCGACAGCTTGGGAAGGATTCCATGGATGAGAATCCTCAAGGGGAAAAGAACTCAAGAAGCTTGGGAAATTTTGAAAAGTGAGATTATAAAAACCCAGTCTAGCACAAACCAAGAAAAATAACAGTTCTCAAAAGAAACTAGCATAGCTGCATAAAGAACTGATAAACTGAAAGACAAAAAGGGTAAGTATAAAAAGTGGAAAGAGGGGCACATAACTAAGGCAGAATATCAGCAAATAGCCAGAGGCTGCATAGATGAAGTGAGGAAAGCTAAGGCTGAAAATGAACTAAGGTTTGCGACAAAAGTAAAAAATAATAAAAAAGCTTCTTTCAATATGTTAAAAACAACATAAAAAGTCAAGGAAATGGTTGGTCCATTAGTGGGAGAAAGTGGCAAGAAGGTGACAAGCATCATAGAGAAAAAAAACAGGCCTACCTATCAAAAATAGCACTGTAAAAAACAGATTAGGAACACAACTTAAAATAAGGAAGAAAATTGTGAGTACCTGACCACTGTAACGAGTTCAAATCCCCAGACCAGATGGATTACATCCCAAGGTTCTGAAGGAACTGGCAGACGTGATCTCAAGACCACTGAACTATAACTATAACTATCTTTCAAAAGATCCTGGAGCACCGGGGAAGTATCAGAGGACTGGAAAAGAGCTGATGTAGTTCCCATCTTCAAAAAAGAAAAAATACAGATCCGGGAAACTATAGACCTATCAGCCTGACCTCAATATCTGGGAAAATTCTGGAAAAGATAATCAAGCATCAAATCAGCAAACATCTAGAGAAAAACAAAGTAACAACCAAAAGTCAACATGGGTTTGTCAAAACCAGATCATGCCAGACAAATCTTATTGCATTCTTTGACAAAGTGACAAAATTAGTGGACCAGAGGAATGCTGTGGATATAATTTACTTGGACTTCAGTAAGGAATTTGATAAAGTAGACCATAACCTACTATTTGATAAGACAGAAAAATGTGGGTTAGACAGCATCACCACCAGATGGATTCATAACTGTCTGACCAGACACAATGTGTCCTCAGTGGAATTGTATCTACATGGAGGGATGTATGCAGTGGGGTATCCCAAGGCTCTGTTTTAGACCCAGTACTCTTCAACGTCTTAATCAATGATTTGGACGAGAGGTTAGATGGGGAACTCATTGAATTTGCAGATGACACCAAGCTGGCAGGATTAGCCAGAAGATAGGTTTAAAGTACAGAAGGATCTTGACAGACTTGAATATTGGGCGCTATCTAACAATATGAAATTCAATGGTAAAAAAGTAAGGTTCAACATTTAGGCAAGAAAAACAAAATGCACAGGTACAGTATAGGTGGTACCTCGCTCAATAGTACTAACTATGAGAGGGATCTTGAAGTCCTAGTGGACAATCATTTAAGTATGAGCCAGAAGTGTGCTGCAGCTGCCAAAAAAGCCAACACAGTTCTTGGTCCCAGCCTTGGCAGTGCCATGGGTATCCAGTGCACTGCTGGGAGGCTGGTTCAAATGAACCATTTTGGGGATTGTGGTGTGAAGGCAGCAGTGACTAGCAATCAATGTGGGTCATTTTTTCTGCTGGTTTTGGCTGGAGGTGGGACCACAGGGTGGTTGGGTGGCCGGTCAGGGCAGCAGTTGAGTGCTGAGCTGGAGCAGTGGCACCATTGCTGGGGATGCCCAAGCCCCTTGCAGCAAGCCAGGGCAGTGCAACCACCAAACCTGGGAGCTCCATGACACTCACGGTCACTCACCTCCTATGGTGCTTTGAGTGCCGGAGCCTGGGGTGTGCTCTCTGGCAGCAACAGGTATGCACAGCTGCCTACATCTCTGGGAATCATTTCCCTCAGTGACCCCCGCAGCCCACAGGCACCTCCCTGCAAACCCAATCTTCCCCAAGGTGCACCCAAGGAAGGGGCACAGAGTGGTTGGTGCACTAAACTCTTCATCTCTCCATCTGTCTCCGCAGCAGTGTAATTGGCAAAGTCTGGGCAGGTTTGGTGGTCTTGTGGGTAGTGGCACGACCATCCAGTGGAACCTGCCTGGACTTTGCTAATTGTGCCGCTACAGAGACAGCTGGAGAGATGGAGAGCTTGGGGCACTGGCCACCCCACAGGAATTTGGGTAGGCAGGGTTGTATGTGTGGGCCATGAGGGTCACCCCAAGGAAGAGGAGTTGGGGTGCCTGCCCACCAACAGGGAGTGTACCCGAGGCTCCAGATCTCACATTCTTACAGACAATTCCGTCCTCTGCATAAAAATGAGTGCCTGTAAAAACGTGAGATCTAAGGAAACAGCTTCACCAGCGTCTGAGAAAAAGGTGACCGCTTTTCTGCCACATGGCCCAGGCTTTTCTGGAGCTCTGCAGATCTTCAAGAGGTAAGTGAACAATGACAGGGAATTGGTGCAAAGGAAGCCCAAGCAGCTGTAGAGACCCCAAGGGGTGGGAAACAAAGCATGAGATATCTTAGTGGGTGGGAGGATGCCTTGAGTGGCCGGAGGTAGGTGGTCTTGTTCCTGCACCAGGACCTCCTATAGTCTTTCCCATCCCTAGATACTGTACCCCATGTACTGTATATTTAATGACACATGGATTCAATTAATGATTGCATTGGGGGGATCAGGGAGGGGGCTCATTCATTTAACGTGATTCACTTAACACTGCAACCATAATGGCCAGGCGTCATTATGGTTGTAAGTTAAGGACTACCTGCAAATTAATTTCTAGCAGAGGGAATGAATCAATCATGAGCAACTGAATTTAAACATGCTTGGGATAAATTCATGTCTATCACCTGACAAGAATTTAAAAATAAATAAATAAATAAATAAATAAATAAATAAAATAAAATATCAATAAAATAAATAAAAATTAAAAGTTAATAAAATAATAAATTAAAAAGAAAATAAAAGCAAGCAAAAAATAAAAAACAGACTCAGTAGACTACTGGGACTTTTTCTGCCATCAGTTTTCTGTTTCTAGGATCTAGATCAGCTGCACATTTCATCTACTGAAAAATAAGTTACAGCTGTTTGAATTTTATCTGTGCTAGATAAGAGTACAGGAGAATGGAGTTTCTATAGATCTGAGGAAGAACACATAAAAAAATTGGAACTAAGCCACTTTCCAGAACCCTGGATCTGTACCTGAACCCTGGATTTGTGTGTTCTTTATATTCCTCTACTGTTCATCCCCCTAATAACTACAATTCCCAAAATACAACACAGTGCATTTAAGTGCTTTGCTAAGAAAATATTTATTAGGAATGAAATTTAACAGATAAAAACATATAACATTCACTAGACCTCAAATATAGACATTAAAATTTTCCACAGAATTTCTTTAAGAAAGTACTCCAAAATGAGTGTAAAGGCTTTTTTGTTCATAAACTCAATTACAAGCAACCCTAAAAACCAATCCAAGTCCCACAAAATTTATAAAGGTCATGTGACGTGATAACTGCATTTTAAAAAATTGTTGTACAGTGTATAACAAGCCCTTAAAATAATATGATTCATTTTCTTAAAAAGTTATTAGAAAATGTATTATACTGTAAGAACACTATCATATTAATTTATATTTTTGATAGACATTATATAATAAAATCTTGAAATAGAGGTACCTGTGTCACACAAGTATGCTACCATATGGAGAAGATTCTTTGTAGTAGTCTCTCACATATAAATCTACTAATACATGAAAATAAGATCGACACATAAGTGTCAATAGGTGCTGATGAAAGTTGATGCCAGCATTTCCTTATTAAAGTTCATTTCAAATAGTTTGTACATCATATAAACATTCAAGTAAACCAAGCTTTTTAAATTAAAAACCAAGCTTTTAAAGAATTGAATTGTTCAGTGTATCATTTAAGGAATGTTTTCAATATATTAAAATAATAATGAAACTACTTGATATGGGAAGAAACCAGTTCAGCTACCAATTATTTTCTCCCATTTATATATTTTAAAAAATCATGTGTGTTTTACATGAAAATCATTAATCATCAACTAATTTGAATTCTTCACCTTAATACAGCATGCATTTCCTTTAAGTTAAACTTAAAGTTTCATTCCTGTCAGGAAACAAAGACTTTTAAATTCGCATTACCTGGTTATTAAAGAAAAGGCATTGAGTTTAAGGTTACCCACTATTTTGGTAACTGAACTCTTAATCTTGAGCAGCTGCATAATAGGCAGAAATTTACAGGTCAATCTTTCCCATGGGCAGGATCTAGTTCAAGGTAATTGCCTATAGAATTTCTTCCTATCATATACTTAAAGAAGAGATCTGCCAAAGTAATCTAAACGTTATACAGAAATTAATGAGCTAAATGTAATAAATTAGCTCGATAGCTAATTGCTATCAATCTTGATAAGCAAGACTGTTGCTATCAAGCAATGGCATGAAGACAATCTTGTGCATAGGGTCCCCTGTGACAATAATAATAGTAATAATAGCTTGAATATGCAATAATCTTGAAATGCTGTAATTGTATTTTCCTGACAAGAATCATGTACAGAATAAATGACAGTTTCAGGTCTACTAAAAGGTCCAGGGTAACTATTATAAACCCACTCCCTTCCCAGCAACTAAATCCATGTGATTTGACATTTTTTTGTGGGATAGAATTCAATTTGGGAAGGGATCAAAAGACTTCACAAGATTATTTTTTAATCTTGCTAATATGCTCCTCTCTTTTAGGACTAATTAGCTTGAAGAGGGAAAGGCAGAGTAATTTCCAGATGTTAGCTGATCACTGGAGAATAAGAGATTTCTATTAACCTACCTCAACAGATTCTAAATTTAAAGAAGGTTATAATTTTTAAACATTTTATCAGAAAAGAGAGATGTAATAAAAGTCTTAAATAATCAGAATATCATCATCACTCCCCCCCCCCCCCACACACACACTTTAGGTCTTGAATATGTGAGACAATATCCTAAGGCCGATGTCCTGGAACATTACCAATGTATATTGTTTAGGAGAAAACAGCTTCTGAGCAGAGGATATTCAGCAGAGGATAAAAAAAGAGTTAAATGGCAGCTTGCTTTCCTTAGAAAATTTATTTCCAAACTAAGAATGCAAAAATAGTAAGAGAGGGGAAACTGAATATAACCTTCTTCAAGGCCTGAAATTAAGTAGAGGATATGTTCCACAAAACTCTTGTGCTTTAAAATATCCATGGCTGGAATTATACTGAATAGTGAGAATATTCTTTATACAGCAGTATCCAATCACTCACTAGTTTTTGGTCAGTGGCTTTCATACTAGCAGGTAACTGGTTATTTAACATCCAGTTCATTATAACATCCAGTACAGTATAATAAACTCTATAGTCAGTCATGCGCTGTTTTGTATACCTGTTTGTATGTGATAATGCATGCAAGAAACTGACGACTCAAGACATATAAAAATAGCAAGTTTTAAAATTAGCAAAAATGTCACAGTGTTCTTACAGCCTTACGTTAAAAACACAAGTATATCATTTACCACCACTTTTGCTCAAACAATGTAATTTGTCTCAGCCATGCAAATCAGTTTGAAAATATAAAGAAGCAAACATTTCTTGGCATATTTAGACAATGAGTGCAATTTGAATTGAAATTTTGATCCTATCAATTATCACAATTATTTTCCATGCTTCCAGTTGTTTTGCATTACATCTATCTTAACTCATTTATATTCTGTAATGTTGTGCATAGGTAATCCCCAAGTTACAAGTATTCCCTTAGGGAATGTTCGAAGTTACACGATCAATGCCCCCTAGCGTTTCCAAACAAGGCCCAAAACTAAGAATCTTGCAGCACCAGGGCAGTTGTTGGCCCTTATGAACAACCAGAGGCTCTGCAACATTTGTCCTGCATGTTGCCGGCCAAAATGGAGCTTCTGAGGGGCAGATCCGCGCTTCAGAAGCCCTGTTTGGTCATCCAGAGGCCACGCCCAGCACCTTACCGGCTGAAATGGAGCTTCTGTGGGGCTCCCGGAGGTTCCATTTCAGTTTGCAATGGGCCAGGGGAGGCCCCCGGAGGGCTGAACGGAACCTCAGAGGACTTTCCAGGCCAAACGGAGCTCGGAGGGCCAAATCCACCTCCCGAAGGCTTGGACCCAGCCCCCAGAGGCTCCATTTCGGCCTGCAATGGGCCAGGGGAGGCCTGCAGAGGGCTGAACGGAGCGTCAGAGGACTGGATCCGACCCCTGGAGGCTCGGATCTGGCCCCTGGAGGCTCCATTTTGGTTTGCAACTGGCCGTGGGAAGCCCACAGAGGGCCGAAAAGAGCGTCAGATGGCTGAATCCGGCCCCCGAAGCTCGGATCCAGACCCTGGGGATTCAGGTCCAGCCGCCAGAGACTCCATTTCCATTTGCAACAGGCTGGGGGAAGCCTGCGGAGGGCTGAACGGAGCCTTGGAGGACTGGATCTGGCCCCCGGAGGCTCCAATTCAGCCTGCAACTGGCTGTGGGAGGCCCGCAGAGGCAACCTGCTGAGCGAGATCTGTGGAGGCCCGAATGGAACTGCAGAGGGGCGTGTGAGGCTGGAGAGGAGACTGCTTGCTAGATCTTCAGAAGGTAAGTGACCCAGCGAGCCAGCGATTGTGGGGAGCATTAGGTATTTCAGTCGGTCGGGAAGGCCTTGGGTGGTCTTAGGCAGGTGGCCTGTTCCATTGTAGGTCCCCCATGGCCTTCCCCACCCTGAAATACCTTATGTGCACTTAACAAGCCTCGCATTTGATTAGCGAATGCGTGGGCGAAGGGAGGGAGTGATCCCATTCAAGGTATGAGATCCACTCCCACAAATCCTCCAGTTACGGATGGAATGAGCAGGCTCCATTCCATTCTTAACTCAAGGACTACCTGTATTCAAAGAAGTAATTAAATCTACAAAGGGAAATCTCAACATATATCCAAAAATGCTCAACAAATAGATGCTAGCAGAAGTTGATATTCTCCATTTCTGGTATATTTTATATATTCTATTCTCAGTTTGAAAAATGTTAACAATGCTGCACAGCTGTTTCATTGCCTTTTAGAAATGTTTCATCAGAAATGTTTCTATCTGAGACATTAAGACTTGCTATTGACAGATAGTTTCTCACCCTAAGTAAAACAAATCCACAATGTCATTTTACCCCAGTGTGCATGGTTCAATCTGATACCACATCATCGTTATTATAGCCAACATTAACCCATTAAAAAAACTTACTTCACTGTCACACAGTTGTAAAAAGCCATCTGACATTATATCTTCTTGTAAGAAAAGAATCCAGCTTCTCCTTAACTTATAAATAACTTGTTAATCATAATCACCAAACTTTAGCTATTAAACAGAATTCAGGTTTAGAAAAATGAATAAATTAGTTACATCTTTGTAAACAATAAGTTTTTATGGTATGTATGTATGTGTATACACACACACAAACATAAACACTCTCTTTTAAAATCCTCTGAAGAATAAATCAAACATTACAAGGCACACGTTACAGTCAAAATGATAAAAATGCAACTATTTTAATCTTTGCTGCCAGAATTGTGTTGTAGGATACTGAAAAACATAAATATAAATTTGTTTATGTTACAGCCTTCCATGGCTGCAATCTCTCTCTTTGTTCTATAGTGCTGCAAGAGTTGAAATATTTTAAATTAGTTTTCTTAGATACTCTCCACAAAGCTTCCAGGGAAAAGGCCAGTTTTTCCATTTCGCTGCAATGTGCCTTTGAACCAGCCATCTTCATGTTTTTTATGAACAAAAACAACATCTCCTTCTTTAAGTTCAAGTTCAGCTTCACTCTGAGGAGGATAGGGTACCATTACTCTGTATCTGCAGAATAAGTTTTTTAAAAAACATTTAGACTTCCATTGTTTAGGAAAAAAGGCAAAAGAATCAGAAAGCTTATTTGAACTATTTATAATTATAAATAAATTATAAACTATAAATTCAGAATTAATAATAACAGACAACGTGTATATTATATCTCTTCTGGCAATTACCATTTTCATTTCGTATATTTTATAAATTTCATTATTCGTTTTTATTCTGTAAATAAATTTTCACCATATCAGTTTAGATTGCAATAGGAATCTGTTGCAAATTCCATCAGGAATTTGGGATAAAAGAAATAATACTTGCTATGCCTGATATTTTGTCCTTGAAAGTATGCAATGTAACCAAATCTTTCTTTCTTTAATGAAGGGAATTATTCTTCCTTTTATGCCAGCCATAAAAAAACACACAATAGTTTCATAGAATAACAGAGTTGGAAGAAATCTTGGGAGTCTTGTAGTCCAACCCCCTGCTCAAGCAGGAAACCTTATGCCATTTCAGACACATGGTTGTTCAATCTCTTCTTAAAAACTTCCAGTGATGGATCCACAACTTCTGAAGGCAACCCATTCCATTGCTGAATTGTTCTAAGTACCAAGAAACTTCTCCTTATTTCTAGGTTGGTTCTTTCCTTGATTATTTACACACATTGCTTCTTGTTCTCGCTTCAGGTACTTTAGAGAATAAGTTAACCCCCTCTTCTTTGTAGCAACCCATTAGATATTAAAACACTGCTATCATATCACTCCTAGTCCTTTTCATTAAACTAAACGTACCCAATTCTTGCAACCATTCTTCATACTGTATACTTTAGCCTCTAGTCCCCTAATCATGTATGGCCTTCTAATCACTGTCCAACAAGCAATATATTAGAAACAACTGCCTGTTTATTAGAAATAAATATACATTTCAAACAGAATACAATTCAAGGAGAATAGAAAATTTCTTCCATAATTTTTTAATAATCAGCATTTCTTGATGAAATGTAAGAAATAACACATTTTTATCCAGGAAAATGACTTACCGTTCATAGATTACAGATCTGGATTCATTCGATGCTAGAGCCAATGATGAGCATGGTTGCCTTGGAGGAGGAACTACAGGTATATTAGAATCCAAAGAACTTGTTTTGCTGTGAATACTGTCCAGCACAATTGTAGGTGATTCACTGTCCATGGGGCAAGTGTCTGCTCTTCCCTGACCAGAAATTGATGGAATTTCTGGCCCTACAGCACCCTGAAGGGAGAGTTCTGTAGTTGCCAGCTCAACTTCGAGAGTTGGGGATGGTGGTGGTGATGCTCTAAGTTTACGTTTAGTAGATGCTCCTGAAAGTAACTTCAGTAACCCCTTTTTTTCTTTCTATAAGAGATTAAAAAAAAGAAAAAAGAAATATGAAGATGGAATTCTACATTTGGTAATCAAGTAATTAGCACTGTATTTAAAGTGACTGAGGGTATCTTCAACAGTAAGATTGGTAGCATATAAATTTAATAAATAAATAAATAAAATATAAATTTATAATGCTTCACATACTTCGGGACAACAAAGCATGTGGAGTGGTAGTGTGATACAGTGGAACCATTTGGGCATGTTTTTTCCCCACAGAATTAATCTCAGTGTACTACTAACAGCTATAAACCATATAAATTACCTGCAAGGGAAATGAGGTTATAATTTCTACAAATTATTTTACATTTATTGAAGACTTTTATAATTTATTATTTCTAAGAGGATAATTTTTACTTAAAAACAAATAGCATTTATGCAACCCAGAGTTGCACAAGTTCAAAAACATACATTAATACTAAATGTTACTGAAAAAAAATAAAAATCTATAATACAGATTAAAAATGAAATAAAAGCCACCAAGATATGGAAGCTTAAATTTGGGGAATATGTAGCAACGTAAAAATTAACATTATATATTAACATCATAATTTTAATCAAATTTAAGCAAGAATGGTTCCCATATATACAATATATCACATAGTACAGCAAATTCTTGGCTGATAGGATCAAGAATTTATACCTTGGTTTCTAAGAGGACCTAAATTTGCTTACACATGGCTCTGTGACCTTTCATCTGGACTACTGCAATGTGCTCTACATGGGGTTGCCCTTGAAGAAAATTTAGAAGCTTCAACTGGTGCAGAATATGTCTGCATGGGTAGTAAAGTGTTGGATATTAGACAAATGTAACGTCACAGCTTCATGAGCTGTATTGGTTGCCAGTATGTTTCTGGGTGCAATTCATGGCGTCAGTTATCACCTTTAAAGCCCTACATGGTTTGGGGCAGGGTTATCTAAGTGACCATTTTCTTCCAGTTGTTTCTAGCCATCCAATTCAGTCAAGCAGTTTGGACATACTGTGGGTCCTGTCAGCCAAGAATGCTGGTTGGTAGGAGCCAGGAGATGTGCCTTCTCTGCTGTGGCCCCTGCCTCCCTCTTCAGCTATCAGGATGACCCCAACCCTGTTGGCCTTTTGCAAGGCCATGAAGACTTGTCCAGGCCTCCAAGTGAGTTAAAGGCCCCATTTTCTTTGAATTCCAGGAGAGTTAGCAGTTTGGAGCCTTCAAAGCAGGGGTGGGTTCCAAATTTTTTTAGTACCAGTTCTGTGGGCGTGGCTTGTTTGGTGGCCATGGCTTGGTGGTCATGTGACTGGGTGGCCATGGCTTGGTGATCATGTGACTGGGTGGGCGTAGCCAACTTGATGTCATTCACATCAAGGGTTAGGGTGCCTGGCCTTTCCTCACCTCAGAGGTCTCAACGAGATACAATTTCCCTATTTATTTACTACTACTGAACATCCAAAATATACTATTTAATTCTATGTATATATGCCATATGTGTACATACATATTACATAGTATAGTGTGTACAGGCACATAAAAGGATACATTATCTACTACATATACTGTATGTGTATGTACACACACATACACACAGCTCTTCTAAAACTATACACATTCAACCACATTTACTACATTCGGAAAAACACACCCAGAGTCCACTTTCTGCCACACTATAACTTCTGTACATTTAGAACATTACACATGCCTTCAGATGTTCTTTCCCAGCTTGCACATGACTGTTAGAGCCAGAAGAGGTCATGGATTGAGTAAAATGTGGTGAAACTCACTTAACAATGCTCTTGCTTAGCAAGCACAATTTTGGGCTCAATTGTGGTCGTACGTCAAGGACTATCTCTACCTTCCTCTGCATGGCAGCCTTGTCCTAGTAAACTCCTTCTCCTTTCTGCCAATTTTCCTCTGTTAGAGGCATCAAAATAATCTAGACAATATAAAGTTTCCTGCTGGAGCAGGGGTTGGACTAGATGGCCTCCAAGGTTCCTTCCAGCCCTAGATTGCTGTCCTGTTTCAAAGCGTCTTCTGAAGCCATGTCTAGTGCCAGAGTTTGTGGTCCTTCCTTCCTCTTTCTCTCTCTCTCTCTCTCTCCCCCTTCCTCTTTCTCTTCCTTTCTCTCTTTCTTTGTCTCTTTGTCTCTTTCTTTCTTTCTTTCTTTCTCTTTCTTTCTTTCTTCTCTCTCTCTCTCTCTCTTTCTTTCCTCTCTCTCTCTCACGTTTTAGGAATCACATCTAAAGGACCTCTAGAAGTCTTATTCAAAACTGATTGTACTCCATGACAAAAGCTTTAGCTCAGATTCGTTAACTTGACTATAAAAGATCCCATTTAGAGAATTTAGGGGTTTTTTTAAGAATATGGAAATGAGCAAAACAATATGGTAGAGAAAGAAAGGTGTTTAGTTCTTAATATTTGAATGTATCTTCTTAATAAACATATTACTAATAATGTATTAGAATATTTCCTTTCTCCCTCCCTCCCTCCCTCTCTTCCTTCCTAAAAGTTATTTGGGGCCACATGCAATTCTTCCTTCCACCCTTCCCTCTCATTCCCATCTCCTTCCATCCATTTCATTTCCAGCTCCTTCCTTCCTTCCTCCCCTCCCCTCTCATTCCCATCTCCTTTCTTCCATCCATCCTTCCATCTCATTCCCAGCTTCCTTCCTTCCTCCCTCCATCCCTCCCTCTCCTCCCCTCTCATTCCCTATTGCAGTATATTATGTGCCATTCAGCAAAAGTCTGAATACTTTGGCTTTGAATAATCTTATTGTTACGGTTAGGATTTTATGTTATAAATATTACAAGTAGTATTAAATGCTTGCCATCACCTTGGGGGTGGGGGCGGGGAAACAGGGACACGCTGGATGGCCGCCATCTCCTCCGGACCTGCAGGCTGGACTCTCAACAGCTGACCGGCGCTGATACAAAGGGGGAGACGCCAAGCTGAAGCAGAGACTACTGCTCTGCTGCGGCAGAAGGAAGAAAACAGGGCCGGTGCTCCGGACCAGAGGTCGGGCAGATGTCCCAGGCATACTCCAAGCGGTGGGGGTGGGCGAGCTCCAAATGGCGGGGGGCGTGGTTGTAACCCCAGGGGTTTCAGGAGACACTAGCCCAGTGGGGAAGGAGGCGGTGGCCTGGCAAGCTTTGCAGCTACGCTGCTGCGAAGTTTACCAGGCCGCCCCCCCCTCTGCTGCTTGGAGCTCGCCGCCGCTGCCCGGAACTCCAAGTAGTGGGGTATCCTGGCAGTGCTGGTGGGAGCAGTGGGGAGGGGGGGCACTGCTGCAACCCTGGCGGCTTTGGGAAACGCTAGTCCAGAGGGGAAGGGGGCTGCGGCCCGGCAAGCTTTCTAGCCACACAGCTGCTGCGCTTACCGGGCTGTCCCCCCCGCCCCCATTGCTGCAAAGGCAGCAGACGACTTCGGGAGCTGCTAGCCAGTGGGAAGGGGACTGGCCAGCCCAGCAAGCTTTGTAGCCACATGGCGTTCCCCGAAGCCAAGCACGCAAAACCCAAAAGGCGAGTGAGCCTCATCATGTCCCCCCCCAGGCGGCTCTTCGGCTGAGTGCAGCAGGTCTCCCTCCCCCACCGCCAGCGTCGGCCTTACCTTCTAGATCTTCCATGTGCCTCTGAAGGAAAGGCGGTGGTGGTGACAGGAGATGTAGCGGCAGCCTCGGCAGGAGAGGGCAGTGGTGGTGGGGAGGGCGAAGCCGCGGTCTGGCAAGATGACCCTTCCCAGTCCCCACCACAGCTGCAATGGCGGCGGATTCAGGAGCTGCTGGCAGGCGGGGAGGGGGCTGCCTGGCCTGGCAAGCTTCGCAGCCATGGAAAAAGCTGCTGCTGTCACCGCCATGTTCTTCACGCATGCACATCCCATTGGACTTGCAAGGCAATGGGATGCGCGCATGTGAAGAACATGGCGGCGACGAACATGGCGGCCAGGGCGAGCGAGAGGCAACCGGGGGTCCAGTTCGAGGGCGTGGCTAGCCAGCCATTATTAGCGGTTCTGCGACCAATGACAAATTTCTACTACTGGTTCTCCTGAATCGGTGCGAACCGGGAGCAACCCATCACTGCTTCAAAGAGACACTTTCTTAATCAATTTCACTGTAAATAGCTTGTCAATGGCTTTTTTGGATAAGAACCTTCAGAGAACAAGTTTTATTACATGGCGAAATTTTCAATGAAAGAAGCTTCTTGTAAATTTAAGATTTAAAGAAAAACTTTGTTATTTGGAAATAAGGGTATTTAGAACATTAATTTAACTGACTGAGAATTGAGATTGATTGGAAATGATTATGAAATAATTTTTATAAGTGCTTTATAAATAATTATAAGAAATTTCCTGCGGTTTAAAATTCTATTAAAATATATGAAGATTTTGAATTTAAGTATAAGAAATATTTCCCTGGATTAGAAAAAAACATGATAAGAGGAGACCTTGAAAGCTGGTTACAAGACACAACCAGAAAGAACTAAAAATTATAATTAGAAGAGCCCCTAATAGAGAATGGAGAAAAATATTTTAACTCTGGAAGAATTCAAGGATATTTGGCAACAACGAACTCAGAACTTTTTTTCTAGATTACTATAAAAATTAGTTCACAAAAGAAGGATAAAACTGAGAATCAGGCTGTTTTGGATATGGATTTAAAATTTACAAGATACAAGAATAATTTTTACAAAGATGTTATACTGGATTTCCAACTGAAACCAGTTGATGTTTTGTCTAAAAGGGACACACAAATAATAAATCAGAACAGTTACTTGGATGGGTTTGGACAACTTTCTTATTTTTGATTTATAAATGAGATGTATTATACCAATGAAAAAATTTCTGAAAAAAGATAAAGAGAGAATGAAAAGAAATCTGAGTCTGGGACACTACTTAAAAGAAATAAACTTCAAGAATTTTAAAAATGAAAAGAATTTTTATAGAGTTTATTCAACCAAGATTAAAATGTATATGATTTTTTTTCTAGCAGCTTTTACTGGATTTTTTTCAACCAAAACTGAATGATGAGGCCTTAAAGATTTGTTTATAAAAAAGATATGTGAAGATTTTTTGTACTTTTAGAGAAAGTGATACGCTATGGTTTTGAAATTGAAAAAAGTATTAAATTTGCAAAGTCGTTTCTAAGGAAGATGTAGAGAATATGATAAATTAATTTGTGATACCTTATTTGATAGGATTAAATTCTAATGTTATTGTTTCTGACAGCTTTTCATGGAAACTTTTCTGATTGAATGAGACTTTAAAGATTTAAGATATGAGAACCTCTTGTATTTTTAGACAAAATGATGTTACTGTGTAAAGTAAATGAACAGCATATGACATTGATTCACTTATTTAAGATTAAAATACATATAGTTATTTTTGGTAGCTCTTAACTGCTTTTTTCGGATTAAGATTTAATGATGAGGTTTTATTATTTGCTAATAGATATGAGATATATGATGAAGAGATCTTAGATTAAAATGTTGGAGAAGGTAACAAGTTACTAAAATTGTTTTTACATTTCTTGATGAAGAGGGAGGTCATTTATTTATATATTTTTCCTTTTACATATTTTTCGCTCTACCTTCTTTTCTTTTTTGGTATTTTTCTTAATTTGTATTAGTTTTTCTTTCTATTTTAAAACTTCAATGAAATTATTAAAACATTATCCTGAATTTTTCTGGTTTTTTCTTCAACTGATGTTATATTTGAGTGTCACTTTATTATTGAAAAAGCATTGCTAGTGCACTTATACATATAAAAGATCTCCAAAAACAGGATGTCAAATTCGATTTCATTGAGGGCCGTATCAGCATTGTGGTTGTCCTCTGGGGGCTGGGAGGGAGGAGGGGCGTGGTGCCTGTGGGGACCAGGCAGGGTTGGGGAGGAAATCCAGGGGTCTCCATTGGGGAGGGGGGAGGAAAGAAAGAAAGAGGGAAAGCGGCTGAGTGAGATGTGCTGCCACTGCCACCACAGTAAGACAGAGAGCAAGAGAGTGATCCGATCCAACGTGTGTGTGTGTGTGTGTGTGTGTGTGTGTGTGTGTGAGAGAGAGAGAGAGAGAGAGAGAGAGAGAGAAGAGAGAGAGAGAGAGAGAGAGAGAGAGAGAGGGGTTGGGAGGGAAGGAAGGGGCGGGAGGCAAAGTTGCGACGAGAGGAACGGGGGGCGCAGGCAGGAGCCCCAAGGAAGAGGAGGAGGTGATGTTGGATGAGAAAGAGGTGGAGGTTACCCAAAAAACCTAGCTTGTATGTATCCAAATTTACAACCCAAGTGTTGGCGATGTGAGTGTGAAGATGCTACATATTTTCATATATGGTGGACATATAAAAAGATTAAGGCTTTTTGGATAAAAATATGGTGGATTATTCAAAATATTTTGAAGAAAAAAATTAAATTTACACCACAGTTTTTTCTGTTGGGAATAGTTACGGATTGTACTGTAATAGAGACTAAGCTGGTTTTGAACTTAATAACAGCTGCCAGGTTACTGGTGGCACAGTACTGGAAGAAGGAAGATCCACCTACTATTGAGGAATGGACATTAAAAGTTGTGCATTTGGCGGAAATGGCAAAAATTTCATCATACCTTAAAGACCATTCAAATGAGAGATATATATCGGAATGGAGAAAATGGATTGATTACATACAGAAGAAGTATCCGAATAAGAAGATTCATATAGCTTATGAATGAAATAATATTAAGTAGTTTATGTTTGTTTTTTCTGAGTTATAAGGAGTTAAGGACCTAGGGAGAATATGAAATGTAATAATTTGTTAGCACATTTTAGTTCTTGGTTTGTGAATGCTATACCCTGTGCTCGTTCTGGGAAGTCTAGGGAGGGGGGTGGGGGGAGGGAGGGGAAGGGAGGTGGGAGGGGGGGAGGGGGGGGATGGGGGAAGGGTAGGGGGGATGAAATGTGAAATGTTTGTATTTTTCATAAAACTTTTCAATATATAAAAAAAAAAAAAAGAGAGAGAAAGGTGGAGGTTGAGGATCGGGATGCTGCAGGATTTACAATATGCCTTGCAAGAAAAGATTGGGGAGTTCCTGCAGCGAGATGTGCTTATCGATGAGCTGGAGCTGGAGCTGGATCACAAGGATGAGCTGATCCAGAAGCTGCAGAACAAGCTGGACAAGTACTCTGCATGTGTTGCCCTGCACGCGGAGGTGGACTGGGCCTGTGTACGTGTGCGCTTGCTTCCTCCTGTGCACATGCACACAGGCTAAGATGGCGTGGTCTGGGCCAAAGTGATGCGGGCCAGCCCCTTACAGTTTCCAGGATGGCCGTGCGGGCCAAATGCAGCCCGCAGGCCTTGAGTTTGACATCCCTGTCCTAAAATGTTTAAAACAGCATAACGAAGTTAGTGGCATCATTGCTTCAGGGAACAAAATTGCTATCTGTTAAGACATATATTGCATACAGAAATGGGAAAAAATATTAAAGCATGTAGTATCTTCTTTGTTTACAACTTATGTCAACTACAAAACCCTGAAATATATATTCCAATAATGATCAATCAACAGCCATCTTACATCTGCAATACTTTGAAAATAAAATGTAATTTTATTTTAAATGTAATTAAAAGAAGCTACTATAATCTATAAATTAGATTATTAGAAAATTTAACGAAATGACTTCCGGTGGTGCTGTCGGGGCGGCGCAGGGGGAAAAGGACAAGCTCTGTCCTTTATCTCTGATTTTTTCGTATTCAGAGACCCTTCGAAGGCGTGCTGTGTTTGGAGAGCCGCACGAAACAGAGGGGAAGCCTGGAGGTCAGTGAGGCAGTACGCAACTGCCCGCTGGAACAAGGGATCCCTCTTTAATCTGACACAAATGTGTCTTGTCATTTCACTTTGACATGGCGGACTTGAGACCATGACAGCTCACAAAAGGATTGGAAGAGAAAAGATTCGAGCAGACTGTGACCATTCATGCTTGCGAGGAACTCCCTTACTTGTAGAGATTGGAACTGTCAAGGTGAGTAATTCTAAACTACTTTTTTTTCCCGGCAAAACTGAAAGAAGCTCTGATAGAAAACTAGCAGAGACTAAAAGAGCCAAGCCGTGACTCATTAAAATCAATTGCCGAGTGAGGGGATTAAAAAAGAAAGAAAGACTGATATAAGACTATAAATGGAAGAGTGGAAGCGGGAGAGTGCATGACAAAGGAGGAAGAAAAGAACTAAGAAAAGGTGAAAAGAGGAATCTACATTTTAATCCACACTTTGACAATTGATATGATCACTGGAGGCTCGAAGGAGAGGATTTAAGAAAGGAAACAAACAAGTGAAAAGGGAGAATTCAAGAGGCAAGAAGAAATCCTGGAGAGGAGAATAAGACCATATGGAGCTTTGAAAGATTGATTCAGGAAGATCAGCGTCTGGGTAAGGCGAACAACGATGCATAACGAGAAAGAGAAAGCAGAGAGACATCAGCAGAAGTAAAGACGTTGGAGAAAGATAGTGAGTGAGCGGCGAGAAGAAGGAGGAGGATTTGTAGTGACAAAGAGACTTGGACATAATATTAAGTGACTAAGCGGAAAAGAGGACAGAGGTGGTGTTGGAATTGAAGACATAAATATTAAGAACAGTGTAAGACTTTGGAAATCCTAAAAGTTACAGTAGAGACTTTGTTCTGGATGGAATATGAAGTAGATTGTCACATTATATTTATTATATGTGGTGATTATTAGGTTAGTAACGGTTTTCTTCTTTTTCGGAACATTCTTATGATATCGCTTTTGCACTAAGATTGTATTCATAAATATATAGATTGGTATTAATAGAAGTTATTGGCTAGCTAGACCATACTGGGGATATTATATTTAATAGTGACTTATTTACAAATACTACTTATTAAATCAGAGACGTTTATTATAAATCAAAGATATTTAATATAGTTAATTTAGTTAAATCTATTTTAATTAAATTTATTTGATTGAATATAGAGGAATATAGAGGAAGTATACTGAGTTATCTCTAAGTATATTGTATTATATTATATATTTGTATATTGATATATAGTTATATAGTTTTTCTTTGTTGAGTAAGCAACTAAAGATAATAGAAATAGAAAACTAGAGTTTAAAATAATTATAGAACTATAAGTAACATATAGATAACTGAACTAAATTTTGATAAAAGAAAGAAACATAAATTTTTGATTGGGGAAAAAAGCAGTGGATAGTAATTTGGGAAAAAGTCTATAAAATTTTGGGAGAACAAAGTAGAATCTTAAAAGAAATGACTAGTATCACTACCACAACATTGAGAACAGGGAAAAAGGTGGCATCAAACCTGACAGTGGTGACAGCTTCTCCATCAACTCAAAGAACTATAGAAGGGGTGCTGCCTGCTGAAAAATTGAGTCCTAATTTAACTGCTCAATCGATGCAGTCTATCCTGGTAATGATACAGGAAACCATGATGAAGCTTCAGGAGACGATGATAAAAAATAATGGGGACCTGAAAATTGATGTACAAACTTTGGATAATAAATGGACTCAATTCAAGAGACAATACAAAGAAACGAAGAAAAAATCAAGGCGGTTGAAATGAAAATCGAAGAAACTGAAAAAAAAGTAGAACAAATAGATCAAAAATTGATGGCGACACATAAAGATCTGGAAAGTTCACTGATACATCTTGAAATGGACCGAGCCTCTTTTTACTTGAGGTTTCAAAACATCCAAGAAACAAAAGAAGACAATCTAGGAGAAGTAATAGCAGGACTGATCGCAGAAGTTCTTCAAAGGGATAAGAGGGAGATTATAAATGAATTGGATGAGGTATACAGAGTCCAAACCAATTACGCGAGGCACCATTATCTGCCTAGAGAGGTAATATTAGATTTGCGCGTAAAAAGGTTCACGACATCATATACAAAATTACAAGAGAAGAACCTATGTTCTACCACGGAAAAGAGATCATAACACTGAAACAGATTCCCAAACAAATTCGAGAACAGAGAAAGGACTATTGATTTTTAGCATCTCTATTGAATACAAGGAAAATACTATTTAGGTGGATTACTCCAGAGGGAATGCTGATAAATTGGCAGGGTAAAAGAATTAAAGTGGATGACCAAGACAAAGCTCAAGAATTGTATGACCAATTGATGGAAATGAAGAAGGATTCAACCAGTAAAGAGAAGTTAGAGGTCACTAGCCTAGAAGAGCAGAGGCAAGAATTGGGAGGTGAAGAAACAGAAGGAAGTTCAAAGGCGATAAAAGAAAATTGAGATGAAGAAGAAAGGGGTACCAGGACTAGACAACAAAGAATCACCAGAACAGCTAGAAATCAGAGATCAGCAAATAATTAGGAAAATGGAAAAAGAAACCCAATTATTATCAATAAATGTGAACGGATTAAACGACCAGGTGAAAAGGAAAAAAATATTCAAGATATTAGCTAAACAGAATGTAGATATTATATGTCTCCAGGAGGTACATATTAAAAAGCAAGATCAGAAGTATTTGGAATACAATAAATTGGGAAATTTGTTTGCAGCACTAGCAGAGAAAAAAAAAGAGGGGTAGTAGTATACATTAGGAAAGAAATAAAAGCCAAGGTAATTTATGAGGATCCAAAGGGAAGAGCATTATTGATTGAATTGATACTGGGGGATACCAAAATGTTATTAGTTAATATACCATATTTTTCGGAGTATAAGACGCACCAGAGTATAAGACACACCTACCTTTTTTGGTGAGGAAAAGAAGAAAAATAAAACTCCCTCTGCCTCTGAGCAATTTTGCCTGGTTGGAGCAAACAACAAAAAGCCTGCTTTACTTTCATTTTCATTTTCAGCATAGCCTGATTAGCACAAGGAAAAAAAAAATCTGCTCCAGCAATTTACCTCTTTGCAGCAAGCTGCAGAGCCGTGAGCAAAACAGCAGAGAGGAAATCAGCTGAGAGTCGGGAGGCCATCCAATCAACTTGTGCTAATTAGGCTGTGCTGAAGCTGAAAGGAGCTGTTTTTTCTTGCTGTTTGCTTGCAAGGAGGTAACTGCTGCGAGGCAGAGGCCAAAGGGTGGGGGCCAGTGGGTGGACAGGGCTACATTCGGTGCACCTAAATTTTCACCTTTTGGGGGAAAAGGGTGCGTCTTATACTCCAAAAAATACAGTATATGCCCCCAATAAAAAACAAAGGGAATTTTATAAGAAAACACATGAAAAGATTATTGAGGTAGATAGATTATAAAATATATGCATAGTGGATGATTACAATGGAATAGTGGACAGAAAAAATGATTATGTTTGTAATAAACAAAAAAAAGGGGGGGGGATGTATTACCAAAAACTTTCTTTGACATGGTTGAAGAACTAAATTTGATAGATGCATGGAGATTATTAAATCCCAAAGGAAAAAAAATTACTTTCTACTCTAACCCACACAAATCCTTTTTGAGAATTGATATGATGTGGGCAAATAGAGAAATAACTAAAAAGATTGAAAATATAGAGATACTCCCGAAATGTTTGGGCAGATCATAATCCCTTGAGAATAATTTGGAAAGGTAAAAAAAGAAAAAATAGGAGATGGACTCTGAACCCGCAAATACTTCAAGAAGACAAGTATATGCAGAAGATGAAGAAAGAATTGACTTTATTCCTTGACATTAATAAAAAACAACATACCTTGTTGCAGAATTTATGGGACACAATAAAAGCATTTACAAGAGGGATAACAATAGCATATACGTCAATGAGGAATAAGAGAAGATGGAAACAACAGGATGTACTATTGAAAGAAGTAGAATATTTAGAAAAAAAAATTCAGTTAAGGCCAGATGATGTACAACTTAAGGAAGAGCTAACATCAGTTAAACATAAATTAAATTTAATAGAATAAACAGATCATGTTAAAAATGTCAAATACACGAGGCAATATCAATTTGAAAATGCAAACAAACCTGGAAGATGGTTGGCATATAAACTAAAAAAAGAAAAAGAAAGTAGGATAATACACCAACTACAGGATGAGACAGGGAATTTACAAAACAATGAGGAAGAAATAAAAAAGATTACATTAGAATGTTTTAAGAACCTGTATAATCAAGAGGAAGTGGATATGGGAAAAAATAAATGACTATTTAAAAGAGGAAGGTATGCCCATATTGGGGGAAGAGATGAGGATGATGTTAAATAGAGAGTTTACATTGGTAGAGTTAAAAGAGGCGATCCAAAGACAAAAAAACAATATGACACCAGGACCAGACGGTTTGCCAGGAGAATTCTACAAAAATATGGGGGAAATATTAGAACTGATTCTTTTAGAATTGTACAATGAGGTGTTACTGGAAGCAAAACTGCCTGTCTCGTGGAGAGAGACATCACAATGATCATGAAGGAAGGTACTGATGCAAACAAAATTCAAAATTATAGACCAATTTCTCTTTTGAATGTAGATTACAAGATAATTATGACCGTCATAGCAGGAAGGATGAAAAAAATATTAAATGAAATTATCCACTCTGATCAAAATGGCTTTCTCCCACTGAGACAAATCCGAGACAATACAAGAACAGTTATGAACATACTACAGTATTACGAGGCCCATCCAGAGAAACAAGTGGCTCTTGTCTTTCTGGATGCGCAGAAAGCTTTCGACAATTTAAATTGGAAGTACATGATAAAACAAATTTAAAAAATGAAATTTGGAGAAAAATTTGAACAGATGATTGAAAGAATTTACTCTTCTCAAAAAGTAAATATAATAATAAATGGGGAAATTACAAGACCATTCAAAATAAAAAAAAGAGTTCACCAAGGATGCCCTCTGTCACCTCTGCTTTTTATTTTGACTTTAGAGTTGTTATTGAAGAAAATTAGGGCAAACTCAGAAATTAAGGGAACTAAAATTAGAAAGGAAGAATATAACTAAAAGCATCTGCAGACGACTTGGTGTTTTTTATTGAAGACCCAAAAGAGACAGGACATACTTTAATAAGGGAGACAGAAAAATCTGGAGAAGTGTCAGGTCTTAAAATTAACAAAACAAAACCAAAAATGATAGTCAAAAATATGATACCACAACAAGAAAAAGAAGTAGAGAAAGAATTGGGACTACAGAGCACGAAAAAAATTAAATATCTGGATTATGGTTGACAGCAAGGTGTTCCCCAATTAAAGATGATAATTATGTAAAATTAGTGCAACAAATAAAATTGGATTTGGAAAGATGGGGTACATTACAATTATCTATATTAGGCCAAATTGCTACTATTAAAATGAATATTCTCCCGAAATTGCTTTACCTCTTTCAAACCATACTCATAAAACTAGATAAGAAATTTTTCACAGATTTGAACCAAATTACAACAAAATTTTTATGGACAGGCAAAAAAGAGAGAATAAAACTAACAGACCTTCAGGATAGCAGAAGCAGAGGTGGCCTTGGGCTTCCAGATTGGCGACTCTATTATAAAGCAGCAATCTTAGCCTGGGTTAAGGAGTGGATTAATTTGAGAAATAAAAGATTACTCACATCGGAAGGACATGATTTACAAAAAGGGTGGCATGCCTTCCTATGGGATAATGAAAATAAAACACATTCATTTTTTTTTTCATCATAAGATACGAGAAGCATTAATGCAAATATGGCAAGAAATCAAGAAAAAACATTATATGAAAATGCCTGGATGGGTGTCGACAATGGAGGCGATGATTCATCCCAACACTATGGATATAAATAAAATGGCCAAATACAAAGAAATTTTAGATTGTTAAGGAAATTTAAAAAGTAGACAAGATTTAAACAGGGAATAAATATAGATTGGTGGCCTTATTTGCAATTAAAGTCACAATACTTAAAAGATAAAGAAGAATATGGAATTGAATTGGTCCCACAACAATTAAAAAAATTATTGATTGGCCCGGATGAAAAATTGATAACTAAATTTTTAAATTATTTATTAGAATTTGACAGAGCCGAGGACATAGTTAAGGGAGCGATGATAGCTTGGGAAAAAATGTAGGACATAACATCAAATTAGAGAGTTGGGAAATGATTTGGAACAGAAATTATAAAATAACAAAATCAGCAAAATATAAAGAAAATCAATACAAAATGTTTTATCGCTGGTATTTGGCACCTTCAAGACTGGCAAAGATATATCCAAATTTAACCCCAAATTGTTGGAAATGTGGACAAAAGCAAAGTACCTTCTTTCATGCATGGTGGTTATGCCCAGAATCGAAAAAATATTGGAAAAAAATACAAAACTGGTTAAGGAATTGACTGGCGTCCAAATATGGGCCTTCCCCATCCCCCCAGGCCCTCCTGAGACAGGAAACAGCCTGTTTCCCTACTTCTGGTGGGCCCAGAAGGCCTGAAAATCAGCTGGCTGGTGCGCACATGCGCGCCAGAGCTGAGCTGGCGTGCCCACTGATATGGCTACAGGTGCCATAGGTTCGCCATCACGGGTATAGAGTATAAGTGAAATATAGTAATATGTCGTGTAAATGGTCACAGTTATGCACAAACTTTCTTCTTTTTGTATTTTAATTGTTGAAAATCAATATTTATTTTTTAAAAAAAGAAAACTTAACATATTTTAGCAAATTTAGAAATTACAACTGACTAGGGAACATATACCTGATTATCATATAGGTTTACTATTAATAAATGTTGAATGTGCCATTATGTGATATCAAAGACATGGTTTCAAATGGTAATATTACACCTAATCAAAATAGTTAAAAATAATGGCAATTATGTTTTCTAAGATTAATAGATAAGTAATTAACAGAGGATTCTCCTGTGAGAAGACTGAAGGATTCTGCAGAGGACATAAGTACCTGCACTGAGCTTGATTCCTAATGATTTCGTAGATGTCCATGACATTTTTGGTAAAAATATGGAAGAATTACCATGAAGTAATTTCTCATGGTTTCCCATTCAAACATTAACTAGATTTAGACCTGTTTCGGTTTTCAAGGTCAACAAAGAGATCATAAAGAACAAAAATATTATGCCTACCTTTCCATCTCTCTCTGTTTTACTCATAGTAGGAGTACCTCCAGCAGTCAATGTATTTTCTGGGGAAGCTGGAGCTCCCGTATGAACAGTCACAATTTTTCCACTTGAATCTCCATCTACTGATACAGAAGAGCTAGGAGAATTTAATGAAGATGTTGTGCAAGCCAATGGGACATTTGCTCGGTTGATATTTACAGCTGTAATATAAGCAGCAGCATTTGAAAATTGAGATTGTAGCTGTTGGGAAGCAACAGAATGGTGTGGAATAATTACAGCAGCAGGAATAAGGCATGCTGAATTCTGAGTCTGAATTGGTGTTACAGTGGCTGTCGGTCTTTCTTGGCTATGAATTGCAACTGTAATGACAAGGGGAAATGGTTCAGATAATGAAAAAGAATATATTTTAAGATTGATATATATATTTTCATATATATATATATATGAAATTCATATATATATATATATGAAAAAAGCAATGTTACCCTTGAAATATAACTGAGCCAAGGTCACCAAGTAAATCTGTACAGTATCTCCACAAATACTAGATACAGGTAGCCCTCAACAATTGAGTCCAAAATTCATGTTGTTAAGTGAGTTTTGCCCCCTTTTACAGCTTTTCTTTCCACATTTGTTAAATGTTAATGTTAATGTTATTTATATACCGGACTCGGGGCGGTGTACAGCCAATTTAAAAACATAAATATACAGACATCATCATTAAAAGTAATTAATGCATCACTCCAGTTGTTAAATTAGTAATAAGGTTGTTAAATGAATCTGGTTTCCCCATTAATTTTGTTTGTCAGAAGTTCACAAAAAAAGATCATATGACTTTGGGATATTGCAACAAATTGTGATAAATAAAGGACTACCTGTACACTATATTTGCTGCACCCTCCTTCCTATATAAATTTTAAGATTTATCAAGCTGCAGGGCATTCTTCATATGTATATTGCCTATGTCAAGAAACAAATTATTTTACCTGTTCTAACTGCATTGCGAGCTTGATTCACTGTCATTTGACTGGACATATGCATAATGATCTTGGATTGTGGACTCTTTTGTATGTGTGCAGCAGAGACCACAGCTGTCGGTATTGTATCAGAAGTCATTGTCACCCCATTTCCCTGAAGTTTTTGCACTGTTCCTCCAGCAGTGGGAGCACTGACCATGGTCACTATTCGCCCTGTCTGGCCAGCAGTAGATACAGGTATTTTTGCTTGGGAAGCACTTGTCATTGGCCTATTAAAATTAATGTAAACATTATCCACCTCTTGTTAAATAGATCATTCAGTCCCATTATATACAAATTTTCAAAACATTTTATTTCTGAAATTTGTTGAAGTACAACTTATTGAACATCATACCTTGTAACTGGTGCTACATAATTTCCAGGGAATACACCAATTTTGCTGGTATGCATGGAAGTTCCTTTAAACCAGCCATCCTGACAACGTTCAAACACCAAAAACATTTCACCTTTTCTCAATTCCAGTTCATCTTCTTTTCTAGGAGTGTATGGATAAATAGCAATATACCTGGGAAAGAAATCATTCTTAATGAACCGCAGGATAAGGAATAAAATGTCAAAATATCTGTTTGTTTTATGTCTTTATTTTAATTTCAAATGTTGCAATTTGTATATTTTATAGAATCGTTTCTGCTTGAAAATAAAATGTGTTGGTTTAGTTCAGGTTGAAAAGTTGCTCCTCTATATAGTTAGAGATATTTCAATCACATAAATTATAATCAACAAGAGATATCTAAAATGTTCTGTCCAAAACTGCTTATCCCTCTCAAGGAACTTCCTAAGATTTTACTATTTCAAATGTCCAATAAATAGTGACAGTTAGTAACTTTAATCACAACTGTTATACCTTTTCCTAATTACATCTCAAAAACTTGTTTGAACAGCTACTTACCGCTGGTTAACTAAGTTGCAAGCAAAAAGAAGTGCTGCCTTCATTTCAGGAGCTATCGGAGTACTTTTTGGGGTTTTTTTAAGAGAGGCTTTTATGTATAAATAGTCTTAGATAAAACCATCTATTAATGCAGGCATGTAGAATAATTTGCAAATTTTGAGTTTGGTAATCAAGCCAAAGTGTATTATAATAAAAAAAATCTGCTCTTCATTGAAATTTTATATAAATTTACTAAGAATATGCCAAAATGTTTAGCATCATTTCTAATACTAACCAGGAATTTGCTGTTGCTTATACCACTTCACAATTTAGTGTTCTTATAGACTTCTTTAACTCTTCTCTTTTTATAGAATACAATTTACAAAACAATGGGATACTGTTGCCTGATTAGATGGCAGCACTTAAGTGACCTTGCCTGATCTTAAAAAGCTAAACATAGTTGGAGCTGATTAGTGCTTAGAAAGAGGCCACAACAGATAATCAGAAAGCATCTTGGAAAAAATTAATGGGAAACCACTCCCATGTTTTTATTAAGAATATTATACCAAGTTTTCATGAAATCACCAAATTATGTTAATGTGAAGGAAACTTTACTTAAATACTATCAGTAATAAGTCTGAGAAGGTAATAAAAATTGCAATATATCAAAATCAAGCATGTCTTGTGGCTTTTTCCTAATTAAAGACACCAAATGAGAAGTCAAACAATTTCAAGATTGTTTTTAAAAAACACTTCAACTCATTAGTTTGGCAATTTTTAATTATTCTTTCCATTAATTGCCAATAAGTTTTAGTTTCACTTACACACTTGGTCTTGTCTGAGCTCTCAAATGTGATATTTGCTCGGTCAATGCAGATGTTGACTTCTGAACTGACCCCGAAGACAGGCATGTAGAATTAGGGGCAATTATTGTAGCAGATAAGACAGGTGATGGTGGTGGTGGGAGAGGTGGATTAATACTCTAAAAATAAAATATTTTAAAAGTGAAATTAAATTTTAGCAGCAATATTCAGATATAATATTCACTGGCATAACATGTATACTCCAGAACTGACTTGCACCCAACAATAACCTTACTTTGCTGCATCCTGACAGATCATACTTGGAAAAGAGTTGCATTTTTTTACCCTGAGAACAACATATATGTTATTTTGAGACAAATGAACAAATTCAAAAGGCTAGAATGACTCTAAAGTATAAAAACTGTCATTGCCCATATCCAGGAATCCAGTTGAACCTATCAAATGTCAATCTCAGGAAATACCAAGCTAAAAATCACATGAAGCTGATCAAAAATAGGCACCATCTTGATAGCTGAAGCAGTCAGATGAGGATAATGTAAGCATCCCAGCCCCTCCACCTATCAGGTACTGAAAACAGCAGAGCAGAGACATTTTATGAGGCTCCTAGCCAAGTAAGGGAGTAAATCTCTCAAACAGCGACAACTGGCTGCATCTTAATTTAACAGTCAGCTCTGACCCATCTTCTTTTGCTCTTGCATGACAGTTGTATGAAATTTGTGTGAATCCTGCCCCTTAAATTCTGCCCTCTTGACTGGCTCTTGGATTGATTTTGAAATATTCTTCTGGGTGGTCGTATTAAAAGCAAACCATTCAGACAAGCATATATCAAAGTCTTTGTTTTGCCTTGCATGCTTTGACTGTTATCTCTTGATCTTGAGTAAACTGTGAACTACCATAGCAACTACTATATGTAAGCAAATAAGTATTTGAAATCAGAATCAGAACAAAAACTCAAAACAAGCTCTTGGCAGAAATTCAAAAAACATTCAACATATGATTGCCTTTTTCAAAATATATCTAGAAGCCATGGTTGATTTTGAAACCTTTCAACTTTTGAAAGTTGAGGTATATAAGAAATTTCAGTCTAATTTGCCCCAATTTTATTTTACTTTTAATTTTTTTAAGATGTTTCCTACGAGGTTCACCACTGTGTCAGGGGAGTGAGAATGTAGTCTTTACTTTCTTTTCCTTCCTTCCTTTCTTTCCCTTGAGATATTTGAAAGTGCTGTGTAAGACACTGGATTACAGGGTTTGGAGATGAAGGTTTCAGGATGAGTAGTAGTTAAGGGCAAATAATTAGTAAATGATGCTAAACGAGTGGTGATGAGAAGAAAAAGAAAAGAGGATGAAAGATATATAGGGAAAGATGGAGAAAGGGTGAAAGACTGACCTGGAGATACAAAGGGATGTTGGACAGTTGTTGCCAAGCAGTAGTAGAAACGGTGGAGCAAAAGTAGTGGTGGAAACTGCTGCTTCCTGGGTTGCTGTAGCTGCTGGGAACAAACCACCAATGTGAGGGCTGCCATCAAACATTGTGCGGTTGGGTAATAGAAAATATGTGGACACTGCTTGGCCAGAAAGTAGAAGACCAGAAGATATGCTAGGAAAGGGCACTAAGTAATGGCAGCAGTAAGAAGAACCTTGTGGAGCTAGTACTGGAGGAGTTCAGGATTTCAGACCCAGATCAGATCAGAAAATCAATTCCATGAAAGACCAAAACAACACCTTATTGAGATAGGCTATAATAATAGAAACTTGAACAATTCATTGTGCTGCACTTCCTTCTCCTCTGGTTTACAATAGACATTTGTGAAAGTTGTCTTGTTTCCTAGGGCTTAAAGAATGCTTCAACCTCCTTTACCTAGGTAAAGATGCTTGCATATTTCTTTCAAGGTCATATATCTTAATTTCTATAAGAAGAGAGTACTTAAAAACCCATAAGGCCAGTCAGAAGCTGAGTGACATGTGAGAAGTACTCCTAGCCAGGTCAATCACATTGCAGTCTCAAGGTAGTATGAGTGGCAGTTGAAATCAAATAGAAAAAAATATGATAAACACATCATTGCAAGACTGAAAGCTATGATGAAAGGCAGGAACTGAGAAACACTGCTCAATCACAGTGAGAGTACAGAAAAAGACCCCGTTCAAGTAGGGCCCTGATGGGAAAGATCTGAATGGGTGAATGTATTGGTGACAGGAGGAGTACAATTCTAGACTTCTGTCCCACTGGAGTAAAGATAGTCCTCAACTTACAACAGTTATTTTAGTGACCCTTTGAAGTTACAAAGGCACTGAAAAAAGTGACATGACCATTTTTCACACTTATGCAGCATCCCCATGCTCACGTGATTTACATTCAGATGCTTGTCAAGTGACTCACATTTATGGTGGTTGCAATGTCCAGGAGTCATGTGATCCCCTTTTGCAACCTTCTGACAAGCAAAGTCAATGGGGAAGCCAGATTCACCTACAGTAACAACCGTGTTATTAATTTAATAACTGCAGTGATTCACTTAACAAATGTGGCCAGAAAAGTTATAAAATGGTGCAAAACTCACTTAAGAAATTTTTCACTTAGCAACATAAATTTTGGTCTCAACTGTGATCGTAACTTGCAGACTATCTGTATATGGTGTGAAGTGGTCAACAGCTGCTCAATTGGGGAAATGGGGTACATGGGGAAATGCAGTTGGGATGTGGAGGATCATATAGCCACAACTGCAAGTTGAAGAAATTGCAGTAGGAGGCATTGAGCAGACCATTCCAGGAAAAGGAGAATTGCAAATCAGTACTGTTTTCTGGTTCTGGCCAATCTGGCTATTTCCTGAATTCAGGTGGCTAGATTGCCGAGTCCTTCGGTTTCAAATGTTGTTGCTAACGCTAGCTCATATATAATGCTTAGATTTGGTGATAGATGAATGTGCAGGCCTGATCTGATGCAGAATTTGGGAAGATCTTTAGATGTCTTACGAACGCGATACTTAAGAGTGATAGTGGCAGAAAACAAAGAGTGAATATGAGTCAATAGAGCAGCATATCCACATTTGAGAGTACAGTATATGGTAACAATATTGCTTAACGCATTGTAAGCCGCCCCGAGGCTCCGGAGAAGGGCGGCATATAAATCAAATAAAAATAAAAATAAAATAAATAAACAATATAAGCAATAAAACACGATTTTATTTATTTAAAACATTTGTATGTACAAGTAGTCCTCAAGTTATGAATGTAATGGAGCTTGCCCATTCCATTCATAACCCAAGGATTCGTAGGAGTGAATTTCGTACCTTGAACGCGATCACTCCCTCCTTTTGTCCACACATTCGCTAATCGAAAGCGTGACTCACTAAGTGCACATGAGGTATTTCAGGCTGGGGAAGGTCAGGCGGGGCCTAGTGATGGAACAGGCCACCTGTTTAAGACCACCCAAGGCCTCACAGGCCCACTGAAATACCTCATGCTCTGCACAATTGCTTCCCCCCCCCCCAACCTGCTACACCGGGTCAGTTACCATGTGAAAATCTAGCAAGCTGTCTCTTCTGCAGCCTCTCAGCTGTTCGCGCCCCTCCGACGTTCTGTTTAGGCCTGCGCAGGCCTTGCCCAGCAGTTTGCCGCAAAAATTGCAATGTGCCAGGCAAGGCCTGTGCAGGCCTAAATGGAGCGTCGGAGGGGTGGGCTCACACCTCCACACCTCCATTTTGGCCAGCAAAGTGCAGGATGAATGTTGCAGAGCCTCTGTGGTTGTTTGTAAGGATGAACAACTTCCGTGGTGCTGCAAGATTTGTACTTTCAGAACTTGTTCGTAAACACTAGGGGGCGTTGATCGTGTAACTTTGAATGTTCGCTAAGAGAACGCTCATAACCCAGGGATTACATGTAGTTGCCCATCTTAAAGCAAATGTTGGGCAGCTTACAATTGAAAAGTAAAAAATATATACAGCAATAAAAAAAAAACAAAAGAAACAATATAATCCAAACCAGAAAAATCTGATGCCATATTTTCCAGATGCAATTATATCATTATATTCATTATCATTATAAAATGAGAATATCGTTATAGTCTTATCTTTTCGGATTTCACCCTAACATGATACTTGGGGGAAGAACCATGACTTTAAAGTTATTTTGACGATTAAAAGGGTGGGGCTTGTCAGATCTCTGAGGGGAAGATGTTTTATGCAGCAGGACTACAATGGAGAAGTGATACTTCCAACGAGCACAAGATAGCAATCTTATGGGAAGGGATCTGGAGCATGGCCATACTATCTGCTCTGGTGGACAGGCAGATGCCATTGGAGAAAGATAGTCCTGTAGGGAAAGTAGGGTTTTCAAGATGATAACCAGTAACTTGAATTGCACCTGGGAATTAATGCAGCCCATTCAACAAGGTTATAATATGGCAGATACACCATGCCTCCAAAGACAATTTCCAACTCATTTTTTTTGTTTGGTGGTGGTGGGGATGTTTGGAGATGTTAGGCTTTAGCAACAGAGGATGACAAATGAATTAGATAATCCAAATCCCTTCTAGATGAGATCCAGATCTTGGCATCAGAGTGAAATTGCACAATATTATAGTGGGATCTGGATGGAAGTTCTTTCTGGTCATATTAAGCCTCTCTGCAGTGTTTAGTAACTATGATGGCATCCTTCTGGGCCACCTGTGACAATTTGAAGTATAAGTTCACAGTAGTTCTGAAACAGGAAGTTCTCCTCAGTGATTACTGAGGAGGGAGGTTGAATCTTATTGTACATTTTCATAAAACTACTGGGGGAAGTTATTCAGTTTGAGATGAAGTATCATTAATCTTCTGGTGATAGTCAATGTTTATTGCCACTCAAAGCAGGAAATGTTGTGGATGTACTTATTTGCCATTAGAAACAGATGAATTAGATGCCATAAAAAAAGGTTTAATATGAATTCCAGGAAGATGGGCATGTTGTTCATAGGAGGAGAGTCACCTCTGGCTTTACTCCAATTCCAAGGTTAATTCTGGACAGGGTCACTGTCTCCTGAAGGAGCAGGTCTATTGGGACCTATTTGGGAGTTATCTTGGATTCCCAGCTCCTGTTCAAGCAGTAGGTGACGTCAGTATTGTTACCATAGAAATCTGTATCCTTATCATATGCTGCTCAGAGTCAACTTATTAATGAGAGG